TCAGGGTGATGAGCTGTGTTGCTTTTACGCCAAACATAACGTTTTGCATTGTTGCCAAAAAGTTCGATTTTGGTTTCATCTGACCAGAGCACCTTCTTCCACATGTTTGGTGCGTCTCCCAGGTGGCTTGTGGCAAACTTTAAACGACACTTTTTATGGATATCTTTAAGAAATGGCTTTCTTCTTGCCACTCTTCCATAAAGGCCAGATTTGTGCAGTATACGACTGATTGTTGTCCTATGGACAGAGTCTCCCACCTCAGCTGTAGATCTCTGCAGTTCATCCAGAGTGATCATGGGCCTCTTGGCTGCATCTCTGATCAGTCTTCTCCTTGTATGAGCTGAAAGTTTAGAGGGACGGCCAGGTCTTGGTAGATTTGCAGTGGTCTGATACTCCTTCCATTTCAATATTATCACTTGCACAGTGCTCCTTGGGATGTTTAAAGCTTGGGAAATCTTTTTGTATCCAAATCCGGCTTTAAACTTCTCCACAACAGTATCTCGGACCTGCCTGGTGTGTTCCTTGTTCTTCATGATGCTCTCTGCGCTTTAAACAGACCTCTGAGACTATCACAGTGCAGGTGCATTTATACGGAGACTTGATTACACACAGGTGGATTCTATTTATCATCATTAGTCATTTAGGTCAACATTGGATCATTCAGAGATCCTCACTGAACTTCTGGAGAGAGTTTGCTGCACTGAAAGTAAAGGGGCTGAATAATTTTGCACGCCCAATTATTCAGTTTTTTATTTGTTAAAAAAGTTTGAAATATCCAATAAATTTCGTTCCACTTCATGATTGTGTCCCACTTGTTGCGCCTTCCTGCAGCAGCTTGCACTGACTTCTCTGTGATAGGGCTTCAGAAAGAGACGGAATCCAGAGCTCTGTATTGCTTTTCCAGAATATTTTGCCTTAAATATTGATTGTAATAAATATCTCAAAAGACAGATTTGTCTTTGACCATTCTTCATAAAAGAACATGCAAGGACTGGTTTTGTCCTAACAATATACTGCATTTATTCTGGCCAGAGAGCATGAAGTATTCATACAGCATGTCAGATTCATACCGAAGAACCAACTCTCAACAGACAGTTCTTAAAACCACATGTTATCAGGACAGAGAACGATGGGAGAATCAGTTTAAACCAGCTCTTAATCTTACCTGATGGAACTAAACGTTCTGACCATCTTAGAAAGGACGACATAAAGCAAACAAGACTTGTAAATTCTCCCAACACATGCATGTCCATGAACATCCATTTTAGTTTTCTGTAATATTGTTTGATATTATTCAGTGCAACTGAACATATTTATAAGTTGACAGTTTTTCAGACTAAATACAATATCATGATCTTCTTAAGCACTTCCAGTTTCCTGTTACCCTGGCTTTGTTTGTATTCTCCATACTTATCATTTTATGTTTGTGTTTGTTGTTAATACTACCTCAAAATGTTTATTTCCATGATGGTACTCCCTCATTTGGACACATGCAGACCACCTGATGGCTATAATACAAACGATTCATTATTTATTTCCTTTGTGGTTGCATATGAGTAGCTGTAATTTACCAGCATTGTGTTGAATGATCATTCATTGATTATTATTATTATTTTGAATATCTGTACATGTGCTTCCACACACACATCTGTGTGTTCATATGCAACCACTTCCAGATGTTTTTAAACAAGCAATTGTCCAGCCTTTTCTTAAAAAGCCAAATCTTGATCCTTCAGTGTTTTCCAATTTTAGACCAGTGTCCAAATTATCTTTTATGTCGAAAGTTTTAGAGAAGATTGTTCTTATTCAGCTCCAATCTTTTCTGACAGATAATGGCATTGAGGAGCAATTCCAGTCTGGGTTTAAATCAAAACACAGTACTGAGTCTGCGCTATTAAAAATTAATAATGACATTTTGTTGGCCAGGGACTCTGGGGATCTAGTTCTGTTGGTGCTTTTAGATTTCTCTGCTGCCTTTGATACAGTGGATCATGAAATCCTCATATCTCGCCTGGAACAGTGTATAGGAATTTGTGGTACTGTTCTTAATTGGTTTAGATCTTACCTCACGAATAGAGGTTTTTCTGTTAATATTGGTAACTGTTCCTCCTCCTCAACTATCGTCTCCTGTGGTGTCCCCCAGGGGTCTGTACTCGGCCCAACTCTCATTTCCCTGTACATACTTCCGCTGGGATCACTTCTAAGGAGATATGGGTTCTCTTTTCATTTTTATGTGGATGACATCCAGATATACTTACCATTAAAAGCAGCTGGAGGGACATCTCTACAGCCACTGTTTGACTGTTTGACTGACCTGAAAGCCTGGCTGGCTCAGAACTTTTTAAAAGTAAATGAGGATAAGACTGAGTGTGTTTTATTTGGTGATCTGGCGAAATTTGCTGCTTTTAATCACGACTTAGGTCCCCTGGCTCATCATTTGAAGACGACTGTAAAAACCCTAGGGGTAACATTTGACTGTGACCTAAGATTCGACAAGCAGATCAACTCAGTCGTAAAATCTAGTTTCTTTCACCTGGGGTTGCTAAGTAAAGTCAAGTAATTTCTTTCTTTTAATGACTTTGAGATTGCAATTCATGCTTTTATAACTTCTGACTTGACTATTTAACCTATTTATTTTTGTTTTTAAGGCTGTTAATGGTTTGGCACCACCTTATCTCGCTGAGTTGGTGAGGTGGCACAAACCAGCTACTCAATTACTCAGATCCTCAAGCCAGTTTTTGTTAGAGGTGCCCAGGGCCAGATACAAATGCCAGGGTGGCCATGCTTTTATTGTTGCAGCTCCTAAATTGTGGAAGGGTTTACCTTTTAATGCTAGATCCTCTACAGACTTGACAACATTGGTTAAAACATATTTATTCACTTTGGTCTTTAATCCATAGTATTGTCTGATGCTTCCTCCTTTTATCTGTTGATTCTGTGTACTTGGTGTTTTTATGTTCCTATGTTGTTTTATTTCTCTAATGATATTTTTTACTCTGGATTTGCATTGCCGTGTAAAGTACTTTGGTCGACCAGACGTTTTTAAAGTGCTATACAAATAAATTTTTGATTGATTGATTTGATTGATTTTTGTTGCAGGTGTGTTCACAAGTTAATTTTATTTTGGAGGGAAATGATCACCTGACATCCGGTTCTCTCCTGTGTACATGTGTTGACTTAACTGATTTCTCTGCAGCAGCAAGACACGCAATGTCTCTGCAGAAGAAGAGGGAAAATGAGTATAATAGCAGAAACAGAGAGACCAGAGGGCATCTGTATTGATCTGTCATATGTCCTGTTTTTAATTACATCATGTCAGGTACCAGAGCTGTAATTGTGGTCTATAGGAGTGGGCTATTATTGTAGTATTCAAGCTCTTTACTGTAATATTTAAATAATGATGATGATGATGATGTGTGGTTGCCTGCATCTATAGGCTACTTAAAGTCAATTAACTTCAAGATAAGACTTTATTGATCCCCAGAGAGCAAATTCATGAAACAACAGATCCCAGGTTAACATACATTTACACTGAACAAAATAAAATATTCTAAAATTAAATACATTACAATGCTCACAGTGCCCCACCACCACTATTTACTTAATTTTTAAGAAAAACTGTTGGCAAATACCTTTTCAAAGCAAAAATGAAGAACATACAATACATGTATATTGTATGAAGGCTATTGTATGATACAGTATCCTAACCCCTGACAGCATTGTTTATCTAACACCTTTTGTATTTTTCATTTTTCAGCGTTTCTTTACATATTTAGTCTCAACATTTTCAATTGCAATATTTGTCGATGCAACTTGTTTATAAGAAGTAAAATAAAAAATAAAATAAAAAACCCAAAAAACAAAAAGGCTAAAGATTAATTCACTGACCGGAAATCGAACCCGGGCCGCGGCGGTGAGAGCGCCGAATCCGTTTCCCCCAGCTTTTAAATACTAGACCACCAGGGAAGCTGCGTGCTAGTATTGACATCGTTATATTTATAAGAGGATTAACTGTGGAATTTCGCTAGGCTCTATTTCATTAAAGCCCAGCAGCTGCTGTTTCCGCTTGCATTGCACAGTGTGGTGTCATGACTGCTGATGAATGTAGTGAATTAAAAGCATTAACATGGCCATAGTTTAGAAACGAAATCAAGCTACATAGAATGTCCGTTGGCTGTAATGTTGTCAGGACCTCGTGGCGCAACGGTAGCGCGTCTGACTCCAGATCAGAAGGTTGCGTGTTCAAATCACGTCGGGGTCAACTTTTTTTCTTATTTTTTGGGCTACCGGTTCTCGCTGGATATATGGAAACTCGTATCACGCAAATAGTGATATGAAAACTGTTTTTTATGTACAGACAGCTGAGAAGAAGAAACATTTTCACACTATAATCATACAGACAAACTCAGAGGTATTACAACCCTGCAGATAGGTTACTTGTTACATCAGTGAAACTTAAAAGCATCTGCTATAATTTGTGGAAGCCCACTATATTTCTGTGTAGTTGTTTCTGTTACTTGAACAAAAAGTTTCACCTCAGAAATTATGCTAATGCTAATGGTGAATGGAAAAGCGATGTCTTCAAGAGTAGCTCAACAGGAATCTGTTTAAAGCTGTTTACCTCCACCTGCAGGACAGCTGGAGGTCTGCTGTGGTCAGTAGAGGTAAAGTCTAGATGTGTTAATCCTTAATAAATATATAAACACATTTTAAATGGCCTAACTCAAAATGGCACAAAACAAATAATGAAAAAATATTGAAATGCATGCAAAAATGAAATTAGTCCAACATTTCTATAAACTTTATTTCTGTGGGAGTAGCTTATGGTGTTTGTTTTGAGTTTCACTCGAACCTCTAGGCTGAAAAGAAAAGGCTTGGTTCACCATAACATTTAACCAGTAAAAATCCCAATAAGCTGAAACATTATTAACAAACTCAAACAAAGGTGTTTGTGTCCTCATCTTTTCAAATGAGGCACTACAGTGAAATTGTTTCGTCTGCCACAGTGTAATACTTGATGTGGCCATCAGATGGTATCAAAGTTATGCTTCTTGCAATATACTGTAATGTAATTTTAAAAATGCCTAAAACAACATTAGTGGGTTTTTTGCTTTAATTCTGTTGCTTTGTGAATTCCATGACTGCTGCACAAAGGACCAGTCTCCTTTCTCTCTGTGGTTTATGCTTGTGTTGAACCATCTTCAACAAATTAAGAAAGAAAAAAAGCTTTCAAAAGCCTACTCCATTGCAGCTTTTACAACATACGGTGAATCCCCACACTAGCTGTTGGAACTTGTCCGTGACTTGTGGATGCTGACTTTCTTGCGGGTGTTGTCAGTGCAACGCTCCAGGATGAGCTCTGGACTCGGCCGGGGTGGGATGACCGGGGCCTCCTTCTTCAGCTCGCTCTCTGAACTGGAGCCGGACAGCTCAGGAATGTTATCTGACATAACAGAATGATGGGTTTATATGTGCATTCAGCATTTGTTTTCCACATTTTGCACCAGCATGGACAGGTTATGACACAACAGGCCCCTGGGAACAGACCTGTAAAAGGCCCCAGCCCCTACTACAGCAGAGCCCCAGACTGAAAGAGACTCAAAATGACATCAAACAACACAAGAGTGGGTGTTTTTTTGTATTTGCAGCCATTTTGTGCCTTTTTCCAGTTGTTTGAGTCTTTGCAGTCATTTTGCATCTTGTCACAATTACTCTGTCTATTTGTTGTCAGATTGCATGTGCTTGTAGTATTTTTGTGAAGCTTTTTGGTCATTTTGCATCCCTTTGTAACCAGTCAGCATGTATTTATTGTGGTTTAGTGTGTCTTTGTAGTAGTTTTAGAGCCCTTTGCATCTGTATGTAGTTGTGTCCTGTGTAGTTGTTTTGAGTCTCTGCATCTCTTTTTGCTTAGTATCTGCCTTTATAAGTCATTTTGTGTTTTTGCAGTATATTTGTTACTCTGTGGCTGTTATGAATTTCTTTATAGTCATTTGTGTGTCTTTGTAGTATTTTTTCTGCTGTGGTTGTTTTGAGTCTCATTGGTCATTTTGTGTGTCTTTGTAGTCTGTCTGCATCTTTTTGTTGTCATTTTGTGTCTCTCCGTGACTGATTTGTGTCTTTACACAGATGCCACAGATGTAAATGGCAGAGCACAGTATGTCAGTGCAGGCAAGTTCTCTTCACCTTGGTTTCTCCTCTCACTCAGTGGTGACTTGGAGGAGTTCTTGGAGTTCCTGTGTGGCTCAGCGAGGCGGCTGCCCTTCTGCTGGAGGTATCGACGGCTGTTCTTACGGTAGGCATCTTGGCTGAGCTGCTTGCGAGACCTGTTGTGGATGCTCTTGGCATTTCGGATGGTGGATCTGAGACCGAGAAAAGTTTTATTGGTAAGTAGAAATGGCGCATGGCAGCCTTAAAACTGATTTTGTTAATAATTTCTTCCCAAACTCACTGTTGAGTTTATAAACACTGAATTTAAAAAACTGCTCAATGGTCTGCAACAAGCTAAAACTGAATTGTCAGATATACCTTTATGTAGTTTTCTAATATTTTTATGAACAAATATCTCTCTGTAAGTAATGAACAGTGTTAGTTCAGACCCAGAACAGACATCAGTTCTTGGCAGTCAGCAGCAAAGAGAAATGAAATTACAAAGCTGTGGTGCAACAGAGTTAGAAAGTGTAACAACACACTTCCCTTTAAACTGAAGTGACACAGTACGACATCAGAGGGACAACAGAAGAGCTACGTGCAAACCTTCACACAGCTGGTGTCACATCGGGTTATTACAGTAGAGCAGTTTAAATTGTTAAACGTGATTTTAACAGGGATTTGTCTTTCAAAAATAAACAGCAATATCTTGACTGTTCATTTCTATAATCTCTTTGCTTTTGGTTAATTTTAAAGTGCTAATTTAAATGTGCAGGAGGTTTTTCAAATTGAAGCACATCATTTGTTTTAAAAATGTAAATTGACCTTCACATCTTATACTTTCAGCTACAACGTTTAACTGCCTTCTGTGTGACAAAAATATGAATCCATTGTTTTCAGTGTTGTCCTGTGTGATCACTGACTCACCTGCGAGGTGGTGGTTTCTGTCCCCGCAGAGTCGTCCTTTCTGCCTCATAGTTCTCTCTCTTGCCGCCCTTCTGCAGGAACATAGATGGGAAATAGCCCGTCTCCTCTCCTTTTCTGTACAAAACAGCATTTGCAGGTTAAAATTAACTGCAAATATTCATGGAAACCCAGTTCATGTAGAATATGCTACAATGGTCCTAATGTGGCAATAAGCTATAATGAGCTTTAGTAAAGTGAGTGGCTGCAGTACAGCAAACCTGCTGTCACTATCAAACTGGCTGGCTGGTCTTAATCCAGAAATCATGCTAAGTTGTTTTTTGATGTTGCTTTACTTCCATCAGTTATTCTCATCAAAGCTCTATAAAAAAAGACATGCTTCAAAGGTTATTAGTGGAGAAACTGTGTATTACAAGCATCTTAAAGTAGTAATAAGTTCCGTAATATTACGCAGTATGTGATGCAGACATTGTAATTAAACTCACATTAACATTTTAAATACTACATGCTAATTATTAGCATGATAACATGATAAACTGTACACGTTTCCATAGAGGTGTTAAGTGTGTTGATGATTCAGCTCAATTTGAATCAACAACTTTATTCAAGAGCAGTTGCATGCAGGAGCTTGTCAATGAGGCTATAAGCTTATGTATGTGCAACAGCTTAATAAATAAATATCTTAACCTCACTGAGCATCAGCATTTTAATATCCAGGAGTTAATGTGAGCATTGGCATGTGTGTGTGTGTGTGTGTGTGTGTGTGTGTGTGTGTGTGTGTGTGTGTGTGTAGATCGTACCTGACGACCCACCAGCCGTCCAGGAGCTTGTGAATAACCGCAACGGTGTCACCCAGCTCTAGAGAGATCTCGTCCTCCTGCTCCGCCTTGTAGGCATTGATGGTGACGTGCAGCTCTCCTGCAGGGAAACACAACAGTGTTAAAAAAAAAAAATGCACGGAAAGTGACACAATACATTAAGCATGCTTCACAATATTAATTCAGAAAATAACATGAACTGCTTGCCTTCATAGTTTGGCTCAGCATCCTCGCCTTCATCTGGTCCATCCAGTGGCTCCAGGTAAGACGCAGGAACCCAGCCTCGTTTAGACTCACCCTGACAGAACCACCAACCTGAACACAAGACATTGATATAGGGCTTTACAGTTTGCTGTCATCTACAGTAAGTTGTCACAAGTCAGAATGGTTTACACTACCAAGCTTTAACAATGTTTTGTATTTTATGAGCTTATGTGTTTTTGTAGTGAAGTAAAAATTACAATAAGTCCCACTGATATAAAGAAGTATAAAGTAGGATAAAATGTATGTACAAATTTTAATTAAGTACCCGAGTCAATGCATCTCCACTGATGTGCCCTAATGTGTGTAATGTAAAGTGTAATGACAGGCTCCAAATATTTTCTCACCATTCTGATTCTTCTCCACAATCTCCACCAGGTCACCGGTATGCAGCTCCATCTCCTGTTTGGACGTCTTGGTGAAGTCTGCAATCACTCTGTAGGTGTCCAGTATGATGGGGCTTGAAATCTCTGAGAAGTAAAACATAACAATCTCATTTAATTTCACAAAACACCTGCCAACATTTACAGGAAACTGTTGTGGACTGCAGTAGCCTTTTTAAAAGCTAGAGCCGTGATGGTTGTGTCTGAAGAAGTGTATACTCTATATACTGGAAATGAACCATGGCCTTGTGGCAGTAAGTGTGGTAAGTTTGGTAAAGCAGTTTAAAATCACTCTTACCAGAAGCGTTGCCTCTGGCCAACTCCCTGGACGCTGCAAATGTATCATTTCTTCTCAGTCTGCAGAGGAAATGGTCATTTTTCACAGGTACAGGTCATTTGTGGAGCTTATCATTTTGGCACCACTCCATTCTGTCCACTCTATCACATCAGCTCCAGTGGAAGCAGAAGTGTGTGTGTGTGTAATATACTGACGTGTTTGCCGCTGGCGGGTTTTCATCCTCAGGTCGAACCTTGAACAAGGTGGTGATGTGTTTGCAGCGGGAGATGTGAGGCGGCAGGTTGATGAGCGCGTAGCAGTAGTCAGCCAAGGTGCTCTGTCTGGTTACTGTCGACTTCTGGGTGTCCACCCATCGTGGCGCTGAGAACGCAAACACGAGCTGGTCAGCAGAGTGACGGAGGACAATTAGAGGTAAAGACACAAACAGGTTTCCTAGTAACACCAGTTTCAGATGTGTAAACAGACAGGGCAGAGTATAGCTTAAATCGTAAAATCAATAATAACTGTCATATTTAATATCACATTATAATTTATCCCCCTCTTTGGTGCAGCACATTCTGTTAGCTGATATAAAACGACAACAAAGGATGAACTGGATGGTATTTGCGGTATCATCAAAGTAAATTCAAAGCATCTCAGAAATAATTACACTTAAAGAACCAAAACCTTAAGTATACCCATATACCATGTACCTGTGTATCAGTATTACAATAGTTAAAAATGGATCAATTAAACTGCAGTACAGGTAAAAAGGGTGGACAAGGGTGAACAAACTTTTCACAACTTTTCAGTCACTTTTTTACAAATATCCTCAAAATCTGTTAAATGGCAAACTGTCAACTGTGCAAATTGCAACATTATGGCCACAAAGTGTTTTTATCTAGTGGATAACCGAATGCATCCACCAGTTTGTACACTATGTTTTACATGTTAATTGTCTAATTGTGCAAAATTATGAACATGTTAGCCAACTGGCCTGGTGATTACAGAGGAGACCTCAGTGGTTACTCTGCATTTTGTTTTGAGAGAGCTTGATTTTTAAATCTCTTTTCTAGCACGCAGAAGCTCCACTCACCCTGGCATGTGTGACTTTCAAGAGGGAGAAGTTTCCAGACCTGTGTGTGTAGTCTGCTGTTGCATCAGGACTGAGGTCTAGATCGTTTCTTCTCTTTCCTCACCATTTCGGTAAGTGTTTTGTAATCAAGGTTTCACAAAGAAAATGTGTAAAGTTTGAGTTCTGTATTTATGAAAACTGGCCCTGAACTTCTGAACAGGAACAGGAAATGATCAGATGAATGCATAGACCTGCACAATGTTTGTTTTCCATACATGATACATCACTGTCAGAGCCTGTCCTATAAAACTGACTGTTGACCTACATGCCAGCAGGTTATCAATAATTAATGTGATATAGTATATGGAGCCACAAAAGTGCTTCATAGGAGGAGGCTGAGGTGGAAGGTTAGGGTACCTGACAGGATTTCCCCTCCAATGAAGGGAGTTTGAAATTAGAGAACAGGTTCTAGGTTTTTCTTTCGTTGGCTAGTAAATTCAGCTCACAGCTGCCAAAACTCACATTGACACACAGATTTCAGCCTTGTTGTTATTTGATCTGTTACTTTAATTATTAGAAAAAGAGAAGTGGACTTGCTCACATATGTAAAATAGGCACAGGTGCTTCCTGAAAGAACATTACTGCACATTACCAAGGCGCAACTGCAGAGGAAAAGGGGGGCGACTGCTGGACTGGCCTGCCTGTAGTCCTGACCCATCCCCAATAGAAAATGTGTGACACACTTTGAAATGCAGATTGGACCGTTGTGCACCTTAAGACTTGTTTGCAGGAGAATAAAACTGATGAGGTGTCACATCAAATAATGTGCTGCTGTATTGTTGTCAATGTCACACAGGACACAGATGTTTTTACACATGACTACATAGTTTGTTTTAATTTTGATTTTACATGCTGTAAAATCTGATTTCTGATTTGGGGTTGTACCAAAATGTAGAAATGAGAGTTGAACAGCTCTGATGTCTGGAAAACAGGTGTTTCACTGTGTGCCACAGTGTGACCCAGACCATACTCTTTTACATATAGTTGAAATATAGTGAAAGTTGTTATTGATTTTACCTGGTAATGAAGGAATGATTCTGTCCTTCTTGTCTATTTGACCAGCCTCAATGGGAAACATCTCCTTGAGTGATTTCTGTGACGACAACATAAAATAGATTTTGTTTTACTTTAGGCATTTGGTTCACTTTACTTGTCCCCGTCAGTTATGAATCAGCACAAGTCAGCAGAGCTTTTGTTTTGTAGTGCACAGGGACTCACGTGGAAGGTGTGGATTTCAGGATACGTCCTGTAGATCAGCTTCTCAGAGAGGTCGCTCCATTTCACCATCAGCATGTACACCTGCACACAGAGGTGGCAAGTCAGTACTTTTACTTAAGTTCTGATCTTAAGTACGCTTTTGACATATCTGTACTTTACTGGAGTATTTTCATTTTCTGCTAATTCATACTTGGATTTCACTACACTATAGAAGCAAATGTACTTTTACTGCACTACATGTATTTGATAATGAATTAATAAACAAAATACAGCATAATCATAAGACTTTTTGATCCATGATGGAAATTCACAAGCTACCCAGCAGTATGTAAAGTACTTCAAATTAGAAATGTATAAGGCAGTTAAGATTAGCTCTGCCTTTACTGGCTACAACAATAAATTGATGAGCACGATAATGCATCAGTAATTGTAATTCCATAATATAATATACATTAATGTATATTCTGTATAATGACTACTTTTGGTACTTATAGTATATTTTGATACTAATACTTTTGTACTTTTAAGTGAAATTTTGAGAGCAAGAGTTTTACTTGTAATAGAGTATTACATTCTGATATTACTACTTTAACTTAGGTAAAAGATTTCAGTACTTCTACCACCACTGTCTGCACTCACGAAAGGTACAGGAAAGTCGTGTCCGTTACATGTAAGCACAAGATCGACAACTTTTAAAAATTTTATCCATGATTGAAGTTTTTTTTTTTTTATTCTCAGTCACAGGAGCTGAATTTGACTCAGTACTTCTGGCTGTTTTAAATAATGTTTCTATATTTTAAGAGGATTTAAAACCTATTTGTCATTTTGTAGACTAAATGTTTTGAGCCTTACGTAGTGCTGAGTCGGGTAGTCGCGTTTCTCAAAGCCGAGCAGCTCGATGTGCCTGACGTAGATCTCTTCCATGCTGAGATACAGCAGATTGACTGAGTCCAAACAAGACTAAAAGCAGCAGACAGGAGGCTTATATACTCTGAGTGTGTGTGCGCGTGCGCACACATGTACACCCTGTCATCAATGTACCAAGAGTTAGTTCCTTTCACATGTTTGTGAAAGTCATGTAACTTCATCACAGGGAAAAAGAAACAAGGAAATACTGTCTGTCAACTGTAATGAAATAATAAAAAGCTGCAAAACTAGAAGTAGTAAGAGTAGCAGTAGTTGTAGTAGTCTTAGGCCTACTAGTAGTAAGTACTAGTAGCTAAAGATGAAGTAATATCTTAAGTCATAGAAGGTTTGATATATTTGATTTGATTTTGATTTTTGATTTGATTTTATTCTTTCAAGCATGTAAAGATAGTCGATATGTCAACACACATAATTTCACACATATCCATAAATGCTAATCCCTTATCAATTTGCTTATACCTAGTACATGCTTGAATGGAGTAGGAAGAAGTCAGACTTATCCAGTCCTACCCCATGACATCATCTTACCATCATTGGTTTGCAAGCAGTATCTCTACATAGATAATTATCTTCTACACCACACAAGTAATATACTAAAGAATTATTACAAAGTGTTAACATTCATACACCACACCCACAATGTTCCATCTGGTTAATCATTGAGCCTGTTCTTGCATATATCTTGATTGACACATACCTTTATATTTATGTTTAAACTCATCAATTCTATTATTATTTTTTATGTCCACACTTAAATTATTCCATAGTTTTACCCCACTTATGGAAATACAAAATCTTTGTTTGGTTGTACGTATAGCATGAATTTTAAAAAAATTTAAAAATATTGCTTTCAGTACTGGTTTCAGGAAATAGCAGTAATTGTAGAACTAGTAATTACAGCATTAATTGTAAGAATAGAAGTAATAGCAGTTAGGATTGTAGTTAGGATTGAAGTAGTAGTAGCAACAGCAACAAAGTATTAATATATATGTTTTAGTGCTATAGTTCTAGTATAAGTAGTAGTAATTAAGAACTACATGTACAGTAGAAGAATTTAATCTGATGTAAATGTTGATATAATACTAGGTCATACTGTCCCTACAGGTTTTGTCACCCTTTGAACAGTATGGCTGGTCAACAAGCGTGTGTATTAAAAAAGTCATTACAAGTATAGTGAACACTGCAAAAACACTGTGCTAGCTGAAATTAAGTGGACACAAGAACAGTTTAACAGAACAGAGCCTGCACCTGATATCAAGTAACTGACAGCTTGTCTAATTTTATGATTTTTTTTTTTTGAAAGATGAGGCATGACTCTGAAGTTCAGGACCTACTGAGAAGGACTGTCAGTCTGGTAGGAAGGTAAGAAGGATTCCTTTATAGTTCTCAGGTTAAAAAAAAAAAAGCAGTAAATTTGAAGAGCTTTCGCAAGTTGAGAATTTCCCTCTGAACTGTTTCTCCATTGACCACAAGGGGAATCACGGTACTAATTTTATCCCATGTGTAAACATCGACTGCAAACACACATTTTATTTAAAATGTTTAGCAACTGTTTCTTGCCTCACTCATGTGGGCTTTCAGCTCAGCATGTGATTTCCAAAATTTTTGGCAACTGTCAAAGAGGAACAAAAACACTAAAATGAAACACAAACAGACCCACATGGTTAAACTTCCTCCATGGTAATCTCTTCTCTCTGAGAACATAAAAAGTCAGTGAAGGACATTATTTTAGATTTTTATCTTTTAATTGAAATTGTCAGTGCTCACAAATTCTGATGAATGGTAGATCAGATTAATAATATATGACCAAGTGATTAAAAATATATGAAATTATTTTCTCTTAATGTTTTAAAGTGAAGCTGTTAATTTTTGTCTAGGAAGCAGATGGTTTCCTTCCCCTGCCCATGAGACATACAGGGTCACATTACTGTTGCTGAAAGAAGCTAATGACTCTGAGCCATAATTACTACAGCCATGAATGCATGCTTATGAAACCTGCTGTGTGTTTTCGTGTTTGTATATTTTTAGCTCCTTGGAAAAAATCAGAAGAGCTTTATTTTACATTCTGAATTGTTTCTTGGTTTTCTCATTTCTAAGCTTTATTGGAAAGCACTATATAATTTGACACCGATTATAGCTCAGAGATGGAATAATATTTGCTTTTATTTTCTGTCTAAATCTAGGCCAATGCATGGGCTTTACTGGGCTGACACCAGTGGCCCTGACTTACAATGGGCCTCCAAATATTAAAAATATAATGTCCATATACATATACACTGTATAGTGTATACAGTAAAGTCTGTGTATACAGTATATCTAGTTTTAATATTTGTAGGGATATAGTAGTTTATGTTTGAGCCTCATTCACCCATTGCATAGCAATATTGTATAAAAGAGATATAAGTCGAAAGCATTTACGGTTTGGCTGAGAGTTTCACACTATGTCTTTATTTTCTCAGTTGGTCCAACACGTAATCTATCCAGGTGACTGGATTGTTGGCAGCCGGCTGTTTGTATGCAATTTGACTACTAATACTGAGCCAACGGGACACAGCTACCGTAATCTGGCATGCTCAGTGTTCAGCACGTTCCTGTCGTGCATCAGCTGGTCTAAAATCAAACTAGGTCCAGAGGACCGATGTAGCCTACTGTTTGGCTTTGACTCTAACGTTCGACTTTGCTGACAGATCCAACATGCCACACAACCACCACCCAGTCCCTTTGGTTTTAGTATTTAAAATTATTCGGGAAACGTTAACCTTGTGTTTCCGTAGTGTAGTGGTTATCACGTTCGCCTCACACGCGAAAGGTCCCCGGTTCGAAACCGGGCGGGAACATTTTCTCTATTGTCCCTGGTACACAAAATACCCTTCGACTTGAAAACATCGTTTAAATTTAGTTCCTGAAGGATGGCTGTTCAGCTGGTTTCCGTAGTGTAGTGGTTATCACGTTCGCCTAACACGCGAAAGGTCCCCGGTTCGAAACCGGGCGGAAACACTAACTTTATTGCCTTCCCGTCCAACCTGCCAGCTAATATACCTGACGACTTGCTTATAGTTCCTATGGAGGACGAAAAATTACGTAATCACAAATAAATAAATAATTCACTACATTAAATCAAATCAAATTTTATTTGTATAGCGCCAAATCACAACAAAAGTCATCTCAGGAAACTTTACAAAGTAAGGTCTAGACCTTACTGTTATCAATATTATTACATAGGGAAAACCCAACAAATCCCCCTTGAGCAGCACTTGGCGACAGTGGGGAGGAAAAACTCCCTTTAACGGAAGAAACCTCCGACAGACCCCGGCTCTTGGTGGGCGGCCTTCTGCCTCGACCGGTTGGGGTGAGTGGATAGAGGAGAGAGGAAAGAAGAAAAGCAACAAGACACAACAAACAATCGAACACTGGTCAAGTTGATGTAGCCGGTGACTGCTCATCAGAAATATAGAGCTCCAGGGCCAGGGCAACCTGCAGAAAGGTACAGGGAGAGAGAGAGGACACACTACAGGAGAGAGGAGACACAAAGTTAGTAATGTGTAATGGAGGCATATAGAAGCATAGGGAGAGAGAGGAGAGGAGAG